TCGGACACGAGAACTGCGCGAGCACTCGACTTGGCTCGTAACCGTTAATGCCTCGGCGGACACTCGGGTAGTGGCTCGTGTCCAACCACTGCGGTGATGTGAATTGCCGAACTCTAACAATGCTTAGAGCTCAGCACGCGTTTTCTACCTTGCGGACCCCAGCGCGTGGCTGTGATTAGCGTTGGTGGCATAAAACAGGCACCAGGCACCATGGCCGCTTATTCTGGCTCCGAGTTTGGGGGGGGGGGGGGGGGGGGGGGCATGATTGACTCTTATATTTCTCGCATTTATTTGCCACCGGCCATTGCTTGGAAAAGAACGAAGGCAAGTTTATTCGGTTATTTACGATATGAGGTGATTCTGAGTAGCATTTAGCGAAACAGAAAAATCATTTCGTTTCCCCTTTAAGAAATAAAGGTAGGAAGCTTCTGAAGGCAACATGACACCACCAGAGGTGAAGCCGAGGGAGATTTCCGGTTGGTAGGGAGTCGCCCCCAACGATAACCAAAAACGAAGAAAAGCAAAGGACGCTATTGGACGGAAATGACACGCTTGGGCAGCCTTGGGTGTGTTCCCATTGACCCCGGCCTCCACATTCGATCGGCTTCGCTTGGGACTTTCTCGCTTGGCTGCCTTGAGCCGACACGTCGCCGCCTCTTCTTCCTATCTCCATGCCGACGTGAGCTTTGGTAACGTAACGCAATATCAGAAAACCAGGCTGTGGGAACCAGCCTTTATGCATATCGCAAAGAAATTTCATATAGACGCCTTGCACATCGCCAGATTACAGCGGACATTGCTGACCTTCTTTTGTGTTACCGAGATACTGACCTACTGAAACGGGCCTTACAAGTCTTCGCAAAGGCCAAAGCTAGAAACAGCACTATAGAATTTCAAATGGCAATAACCAGGCCTGCTATGGTAATGATGAGGGGAAATAAACAGAATAAGAGGAAACAAATATTAGATGGCACAATGCTTGGCAGATCTGTCGCATACATGAAGAGTTCTAGCATCAGGCAATATCAGGCCACGTGACGCCAATTTACAGGCTAAACTTAGCGGGGAAACTGAACTTGTGTATAGGTCATGCGACACGAAGTCATGTGACGTCATTTTTCGCGCAAAATTCAGCGGGAACTGAATTGGTGCTGAGGTCACGTGACGTCAATTTTCCCGGCAAACTGAGTTTATGTGTTGGTCATATGACGTCCATTTTTCCGCTAAATCTAGTGGGGAAACTAAATTTATGTATAGGTCACGTGACGTCATTTCTTCCACTAAATTTAATGCGAAAACTGAATTTGTGTATAGGTCACGTCACACGACGTCATTTGATGCCATTTTTTTTTTTGCGAAATTAAGCGGGGAAATTGAATTGCTGTTGAAATCACGTGACGTGCAACTTAACCCAAGCGGGGAAAGTGAAGTGATATAAAGTCATAGGCCACGGCTTCATGAAGTGTAGCTTCATGGAATCCGGAGAATCTAGCCCAAAGACATTTCACGGTAAAATTGAAGGTCAGTGAAAGGCGGCGTTCAAGCACAGCTGCTGCCAAGAGTATGTATACTGGCATTGTTGAAATTGTGTCTCTTTGTAATCTTCTAAATTTAGACTGGTGATAACAGGAAGCTGAATAGGTTCTCAAAGGCAAAAAGAACTAGCTAACCTAGAGATAAATTTTACCACAGTGTTATTATAATGTACGCTAAATGTTAAACTGGCACTAGTGTCTATCCGACTTCCGGGATCCAAATCGAAGCAGACAGCAAGCAGCCTACTTTTGCGGTACTCCTGAGCATTATTACAGGAAAACGCGCATGCATTTAATCTCTTTGACGGAAAACAACATGGATGACTTCTGCTGTTTGGGCTGTACTGAATAGTATGTACTATCCGGGAAAAATGAAAGGCGAACAGAGGAGCGCGTGGCTCACGGTACAGGCTGCGCCGCCTGAAAGTGCGTCTAGGGGCGAGGCTGTGTGGCCTAGAGCCACTAATGCCCGTGTTCCACTAGAGCGACAGACAGAAACGAACGACAGCGACAAGCCCCAAACCAGAGTCTTTTGCGTTTTGAGAGGCTTTGTAGAACAAAGGAGGCTATGCTGAAACACGAGCATCATGCACGCGATGGTATCTTTGGCAGGCAATCGCTCGTGCTTACTTCACGAGCACTGAACGACTAAACGCCTGCCAAAGGTACCATCGCGAGCATGCTGCATGGGTTGGAGGCTTGTCGCTGTCTTTTGTTTCTGTCTGTCGCTCTAGTGGGACACGAGCATAAAGTTTATATAGTGGCACTAGTGTGGCCTACTCCGTTGTGTATACGCCCCTCGCTCGGCGCTCCCCAAGCTTCAGCATTGCACCGAAGCTTGGGAAGCGCGAGGCGCGAGGAAGCCAGCGCGCGCTCTACCTGCTACTAGCAGCGAGCTTTCTCGCGCCGCACGTGTCGAGCGAGCAAAGATAGCGATGATTACTTCCATTAAATAGGCTACGCTTCAGAGTAAGGACACTTGGCCATATTGTATCTTAATATCATGGTTGCCAGTTATCTGAAGCTTTATCTGATATCACAGGAAGCGCCTTTCCGTCCTCCCCAAATGTGTAAATAGTTCGCGACAGAGCAAAGCAATATTAGATGACCTTCCTCACACCGAATCTAATGCTGAGGAAGTCGCACTTTTGGGTCATGACGATCGGCAGTTGCGTCTGCTCTGCATACGAGCCAAAATGGCGGCGCCCACAACAATGTCGGTGGACGGAGTGGCGATACTCTAAGCGCAGCTCATTTAGTGGCTCGATGATTAAGCGGTGATAGTGCCGATACTCTAAGAGCAGCTCATTTAGTGGCTCTAGCGATGATTAAGCGGTGATAGCTTCGGTATCGCGCACCGAGAGGCGCAATACCGAAGCTTGGGAAGCGCTGAGTGAGGGCGTATGCACATGGGACTAGGCCACACTAGTGCCACTAAATAAGCTACGCTTCAGAGTAACGACACTTAGCCATTTTGTGTCGTAAAATCATGGTTGCCAGTTATCTGAAGCTTTATCTGAAATCACAGGAAACACTTTTCCGCTCTCTACAAATGTTTCAACAGTTCGTGACAGAGCAAAGCAATATTGCATGAGGTTCCTAACAGCGAATCTAATGCTGAGGAAGTCGCACTTTTGAATCATGACGATCGGCAGTTGCGTCTGCTCTGCATACGAGCCAAAATGGCGGCACCCACAAGAATGCCGGGGAACGGAGTGCCGATACTCTAAGCGCAGCTCATTCAGTGGCTCTAGGCCACACAGCCTCGCCCCTAGGCGCACTTCCAGGCGGCGCAGCCTATACCGCGAGTCACGCGCTCCTCTGTTCGCATTTGATTTTTCCCCGATAGTACCTTTATTAACATTCTAGAAGCGTAATTCGTTTAGTTAAAGAGTTTTTTTTCATCGGTGAGTGATGTTGAACTTCGCTATATTTAAGGTCCAAACCTGTGTTCCACAAATGTGTGTAAACACGAGCGACGAATATAAGAAAAATAACAATCAAAGGAAGTGTAGAGAGCGTTCAAGGTTAGCTACCATTCTGGTAACGCTTTTATATTGCTAATATACCATTCCGGTCACATATGCAAAAATCGACCCGTGTCGTGCATCTTTACGAGTGGTTAAAAACATTCAAAACGTAAAAATAAAGTCCCCGGGCTATGAAAGTCGTTTCTTTTTATTATTTCCTGCGCTGGGCAGCTTTTATCGGGCACCAGATTTCTGGCTTCTTCTTATTTTTAAATATTTCGAGCTTGCCGGTTATGTTTTGAACGCTTCGTACATGGACGATCAGAGAGAATAATTCAATGCTTAAGGCCATGGTCCCACTGAATGTGGCAGTTTAAGTACTTTTTGGCAGGTCATTACTCATCTTCTTTTGAATACTGTTTTGTGGGATTTATGTCATTCGAAAGGCAATGCAATCATCTTTCATTTGATATTATGTATGCGTTGGTTTTTACTGTTCATGCGCATTTGTAGCGTTGCGAATATGATGGCGCGGACCCTCACTTGCTCCGCTAGTTCATGTTTTATGGACGATCCATTAAAGATAACACGGTTCCAATGTAGCAGTTTTGTTAAGATGATGTCGGAGCAGAATTTAACGATACACTTTTTTGGTATTTGCAATACTTTGTTTTTTTTTTTATCCCTCCAAATATTGCCCTAAAATTTACATTTTTCAGCACAAATATGTTTTTAATGACAAATTAAGATTAGCTACAGATGTAGTGCTTATAATTGGTAATAGCCACCGAGCAATCGAGTTTGCCCTGACAGGTCGCGCCATCTATCGCCCAACTTCGAAAGCAATGGGAAGTCTGCCTCGCTGGCATCGCCAGCTTCGCCATTTGCATCGCCGTACGTACGCGTTGTTTACGTTGGGCGCGTTCTACTTCTGCTACGGTCCTTTGCTCGTGTTAAGTCTGCGTACCAAGTTTCATGGCACCGCTGAAAAGTAAGCACGCCGATAATGAACCCTCTGACGGCGAAAATCGCCGTACCAAGACGAAACGGAAGACGTACCGGTACTGCTGTGTGAAGAACTGTCATAACAACGAGGGACTCAGACACGTGAAACTGCACCGCTTTCCTTCGCAACCGTGGGATAAGGAACTGCGTAAGAAATGGATCTCGGCTGTCAGGCGTGTAAAGTGAGTATAACCGTTCAATGGTGTGTTCCATCAAGCCGAAATAATGCAGTGTTCGAGTACGCTGTCGCATGACGCTTAAAATTGGGTTTTGGTGAAGAACCCTGCGGTCGTACTAAGTATACGGGTTGCTATTCTTGTAGACTGCTCTCCGAATTCATCGGTGAAAAAAAATATATAACTTAGAAAAACTGAGGCAACCCGAGGAAGACTTCTGCCGCAAACAGAGCGGGGTGAAGGAGATTCGTAACACATTCGAATTGAGACGTTCCTGTTTTTTCGGTTCCTTGTCGCCTTGACGCAGAATTCTGATAGATGATTGGTACTTTGTCACTTTGCGATGTCTTTAATCGATAGCAAATTGGTTAAAATGGTCCTACGGAATTTTTTCCCGAAGAAAAAGTGGCTTTTGTGTAAATTTTTTCTGTGTTCATCTGAATTTTTTTTCTACTAAGTTTATGAAAACAAGAGTTACAAAAAGATATTCCTTGTGCCGTATTTGAGTCCTTACGAGTGTTAACCTACAATGAAAATATTAATGTGACAATGTATTTGGATTGCTCTTGCAGCACCGATGGCTCAGAATGGGTACCAAACAGCAGCTCCAGGATCTGTTCAGAGCATTTTGTCAATAATGCCAAAAGCAACATCGCAGCCCATCCTACGTACCTCCCCACACTCTTTCCAGCAGTGTACAAGAGTTCAGTGATTCCGCAGGACCAAGCGTCAAGGTTTGACAGGTGAAGTTTTGACCAGCTTTAGTTATAACTTCAGCGGTTATTGTATCATTGAACTTCAGTACTTAATTTGATATCCTTGTATATTTCTCCGAAAAAGTCACTATTTTTGAATATTTGAATTGCAGATATTTTAATACATTGGTTTCGAAGTCAACAACATCTGTACTTAAAGCTAACTGTTATTATGCTACTGCAGTGTTTCTCAAACTTGAGCTGGGGGTCGTGAAGCGCCTCGAGAACTGAAAAGACATATGTACTTGGCTTCTCTGCGATGGCGTGGACGAAAACAAAGTACAGGTCACTGCTCCGCATCGAACCGGAACTAAGATTTGCGGTGTCCAAAATCTGCCCTCGTTATGAGAAACTGCTAAAACAAACAAGCTTGCTCTTGCCAGTCATTCAGTCATTCCTCGTGGCTTGCACTATTTTGTGCCAACGGTTTCTTGCCCGGCTGATTCGCTTTTGACCATATTAACCGCAATTGAAATTTGAACACCAGTTTTGTAGATTATTGTTTGTACACCGAAATCGAAAAGCTTGTGTCGTTGCAAAAATCTGCAGGGGTTCAGGGCACCGCTCAATATTTGATGTTTTTAATCGGGAAGCAGCGTGCTACCGGGTTAGGCGATCGTCCAGCTCATGATCCTGATTTCACGGACACTGCATGAATAGCTACAGGACGTTCTGTTTGTGACTCGCATCAATCTAATATTGTTTGCAGATGGCATCACAGAGTAGCAAGCAGACAAGCATCGAGTCTGGGGGGTCCCGCTTCATCTTTGACTGGAATCCCAAGCACAAGCAGGGAACGAACTAGCAGCGGCAGCCGAGGTGGAAATGAGGGCCTGCACCTCTTATGTACAGCCGTTGAATTCAGAGAGGAGAGACAACCTTCCGTGGTACGGCTTTTGCATCAACAAGTGTCAAATGTAACGTTAGGATTTGTCAGACCCAAGTCAGTGAGGCGTGGGCACTTCTGGGGGACACAAATGGGCTGTTGTTATTTGAACTTAGCTGAAAGTTCTTCATAGTTGTTTTGAAAAAAAAACAAAAAAAAACAACAAATGTGCTCACTGTAGTATTAAAATGTTTTGTTAAAGCGTTCTACACGACATAAATGGTGCCACAAACCAACCACTGGCGCCCGTGCGCTCAGGCTGGCCGCCCCCCAGGGTGCGCAGCCCCATGCTGTTGACCATTAGTAAATCAGTGCGGCTCGAAGTGTCACTCGTGTCAGACGGGTCTCATTCCGGGGCTTTTCCCGCCCCAGGCTCCACCGGCACCGCCTCATCGGCATGCGAGATCCTCGTCATTTCCGCAGGCCTGCGTGGGCTCTGCTCTTCTACTTTATTTTTTGCATTTTTCTTTTTTTATAATTACTACACTTACATGTTAGGTTCACAACAGGTGTTGAAGCGACACTAGTCTGAAGTCTTGGGGTACACACTCTTGCTCATTGTTTGTCAACTTGGCTCTTTGTCGCATCACTATGGTATTCACATGGATTATGGGAAACCTGTCTGCTTTTTAGGAAGATCAGACTGATGACCCGGAGATTAGCGCAACAGATGGGATCCTCCAGGACCAAGCATCAGGGCTTGACAGGTAAAGTCTCAAAATAGTTTCAATTATCGCTTCAGTGCTCAGTTTACCTCCTTAGCTCTCTTACCCTTCCCTCGCAGCGACCGAAGTGGCACCTGGCCTGTGTTTCGAATAGTTGATATTTACAATATGCAAACTTATGCAGGAAATATTCCAGTAAGAAAAGAAATTAGACTCCGGATGTGTTTTCTACCGTGATGTTTGACTGCCGACTTAAGCAAGCTGCTTATTAATTTCCATGATGCTTATGGAGCCCAGGCCCAGCTTGGCATCAAAACTCTATCGGCACACAGCATCGGCAGGACGGCCTGCTAGAAAGTGCTGCAGAATCCAGTGAAACAGCACAGCGTTCAGTGGTAAGATTTCTGTATCAACCAAGTTGAAGTTACTAATAGAATTTCTTGAACTCTAATCAGCAGAACGTGGAATTCATAAGGGTACACATACATATTGCTTTTACTATGGCGTGCGAAAATGTCCTAACAATTATCTAAAATATGTGCAACCAGATATCTAAAACAAAAAACCAACAAATGCGCATGCACATTGTGGTTTACAGGACCTCATGGGACGCTACTCCGTTTCACCTTACGTCCGGACGCAGCGGACATAAGGTGAAACGGCCTTGGATTGGCACCGATGGCTCGAAGCATCCGCTTTGCCCGGACATTAGGTGATACAAAGTATAGCACAAAGACTAATGCGGCAACGTCTTGTAGATTTAAACATGAGGAAGATACATAGAAAAGGGGGGACAGACAACGAAGACTTCCAACTAGCAACAACGCTTATTGACACAAAGTTACATATATAGGTGAAGGAGGGGAGGGTGAAAGACACCACACTGGAAAAGGGGAAAGCGATGGGAGGGGGATTAGAGGCAAGTCAGTGAAGGACGATCCCGTGGGGTTGACATCTAATCGCTTGGAGCCGCGGAAACGAGGGACGTCAGCTCTGGCCCCAGGACGTTTATCTCCCTCCTGGATAAGCCTATGGACGAAGACCCGAAGTTGTTGTGACTGTGGTGCATCGCGAAGGCTTCTATGATCTCTCGTCCGTATCTTGAGGCGTGACCTCCAATCCTGGTGGTCGAAGGAAGGTCGGCTGAACAGGGTTCGCTGCACTCAGAGGTGTGTTTGGCAATCGGGTGGTAACTAAACTCCGAAGTGTTGGAAATGTTCAGGACTTTGTAATAGTTGATGTGTAGCAAGCTGTTTTGAGGTGACCGGACCGCGCTTGAAAAAGCTTTCGGTCAGTTTTTTAGATTTTTCTTCGCTGCACTTCATCAGCGTAAACGAGGATGACTCGGAACAGTAAGTCGCTGAAGCCCCAGCGTTTATGGGGGATGTTGCATGATATAGGACATCTTTGCAGTTTTAAAATTTTGAAATAATCTTGTCAATTTCACAATTAAGTCCACCTAAAATAAACACCATGGCATACGCAAAGGGTGCAATCGAGCTGGCGAGTAGGTACATATGCTCACTTTCAAGTAATTGTACATGATTTTCGAAGAGACTGTTTGGTTGTGCTCTACGTTTGCTTTCGGAGCTCTTGAAGAAAAAGCACCTCATTTTAGTTTGTGCGATGCCTGCCAGTGGCAATTTTATGTGTATGTAAAGAAGTACAACGACAACAAAAGACTAGGCAATGGCCTTCAAGGTGCCATTTTACCAGTTATTTGCGTCTATTGAAATACACGGTCTACAATGTCGGACCCGTGATGGCGGCCGCGATGCCCCATCAGTCCGAGGAGATCAAATGCGTCGGAATAGTGCAACGGCACGGATTGGCGAATCGTTTGTAGACAAACCTTTCGCTTCGAAACAATACCACAGCTTCTTTGGGCCGTGTTGAGATGTTCATTCCATTGCTCGTCCTGCTTCATCCGCCATGATGCAAGGCAAATCTTCATCTCTTACGCTAGTTCACGTACCGCTAACCGTGACGATCCAGTCAAACTATTCCAGAGTTGACTGCAATTTCCGCACACATTCACAGTTGCATTAATGAATGGGGGGGGGGGGGAAGGGGGGGAGGGAACCGTTTGCCTCATAACGGCTCACTAGAACTCCCAATTGTTATCAACTTACTCTTTGTCATGCCACTTTATTATTTGCACCAATCGTGACAAATGCATATACTTCTAGGGTTCTCAGACCAACGACATGGAGATCTGCAAGAGGCAGTTTTCGGTCTACATTTCTACCCTGCAAAATGGCAACGGCTCAACACAGATTACACACCCCAGGGTGCCGTCTGTGTCGTCACGGCAATCTGGTCCTGACTGGAGAACAGGGTGCTTCCAAGGCTACGAGAGTGTCCGTCATTCTCCTACGTCATTGGAGGTCTTGTGCAGTGTGACCACAACCGTGTTTGCCCTGCTTCGGAGCATACTTCCTGTAGGTTCAGAACGATTGGTGGACACATCAATGGCAAACAAGCTCCTTTTGTTTCTGATGAAAATGAAACTAGGGATGAGCTACTCATCACTTGCAGTGTTGTTTTGTATACACCGCACCACAGCATCACGGCATTTTCGTACTGTGCTTGCATCACTGTCTGCTGCAACCGAAAAGTGGATTTTTCGCCCACCATCTTCAATCATCGTGTCCATGCTGCCCCAGTGCTTTAAGGCGCACTACCCAGAATGCAAAATGATCATTGATTGTACCGAAGTTCGCACAGAGGAGCCGGGCACTGTGGCTCAGCAGCGTGCCTTGTATTCTGCATACAAATCAGGGTACACTCTGAAGTTTCTGGTCGCAGTGACTCCAAATGGGATGATTTGTTTTCATTCCAAGGCCTATGGCGGACGCTGTTCCGACCTCCATATTACTGTAGATTCCCAGTTTTTCAACTTGGTTGAGCCAGGTGACGTGATATTAGCAGACAAGGGCTTTCCAGTATTAAGGCTAGCGTAGAGGGCAGTAAGGCTGTCCTTGTCATGCCTCCTTTTTTTTCGGGGGCTGAGCAGTTTAGTTGCCAAGAGGTAGAGGAGACGTACAACATTGCTCAAGTCCGTATTCATGTGGAGCGAATGATTCAACGAATCAATGTGTACAACATTCTAAACACTCGGGTACCAATTTCCCTCATACCAGTAATGAGCGATGTTTTTCATATGTGCTTCATTCTGGCGAACTTGCAACCTGCCATAATTGCATCACAGCCATGAGCCCGAGACTAAAAGTGTGAAATCAGGTTGTTTCAAACCTATCGCCGGCTACAGTCTAAGCTCATTATAAGAGACCTGGTTACGACAGACACTTGGATATAACATACCAATTTGTAGAGTTTGGTTGGTTTTCCTCTATGTGGCCATTGACTCAACTTCATATCTGCATACAACATACTCCTTTTACAACAGACCGAAATCTTGGTCGAAACCAAGGTCTGTAATAACGAGCTTAGACTGTATACACCTTTTCCAAAAGGGCGCAGCCATCTTGAATGGCGTCACTTCTGGTATGCGGTGAAACATTGTTTTGATCTCTCCACACCGCTGGAAGTTGTTTACAAAAAATGCATGATTGTTACTCCTTGTTTTGCCTCACCTATATTTTCTCGCATATTCCAGCTTGAAATGTGCCATTTTTTTTTGTTCCACCAAGCAGATATGGAACCCACGTAACCACAAGAAACGGAAAACATCTATAGGCCAGGAATTGAATGCACTAACAAACTACATCTGCTGGTATTTTGTTTCGAGTCATTGAAATAGACCTGGTAGTTGGCACCAAATTTTGTTTATTTGTATTTGTTTTTGCAATATTAAGAATGAAAGGGCTTCTCAAAAGAATGGCATGAGCTTATTTCATGACAAGCAATACAAGAAAACTCTTATCTATCCTATTTTAAGTACAAATAAGTAACACGGGTTAATACTCCTCTACATGCAACATGGCACTCTTAATTGAAAAAATGTCCCCCCTTTTCAGCAAATGACTATGAAAACGACTCGCTTCCAAGTTGACGTTACATGTGATAAAAAACAACTACAAACACACTTGAAGATGGGGAAGATTATGTAGAGTACTCCTTAACAATTGCTGGCAAGTAATGAGAGAAAAAGAAGCCTTCCAAGTGCCGGATGGCTGTCTCCAAGAAAATGTTGTCTCTCTCCACAGCAACAATTACACTGTCCACACTCGTGTACACAAAGAAAAAGCACTCTCCCAGGTTAGGGACGTACATGAGGACTTGAATTTGAGTGTAGTACTTGTGAGTGCGCCGTAAACACAGCCTACCCTCTTCGTACACGAGGTACTTCACGAAGGTAACCTCAGCGGTAGAATCTATGACCGCAGAGTCTTTGATGGAGTGCGGAAACTTGATCTCAAGTAGAATGGTTCCTTCACCGGTCGCAAAAAGGCCATCAGGGCTGCCACACAGCCACGGCTGCTGATTGTGCACAAGCAGCCCCACCTAGAATGGACACAGAGCATTTATCACATCTAGCAAACAATTAGGAGATTAGAATTATCATACAATAATGCCACGAAGGTCACATATTGTTTAGCAACAAGCCGCCTTACATTTGTAGGCTATTGACACTTCTAAACTTGTAGTCATATACTCAAAGACTATATATAAATGCCGTACCTCCACAACACGGGCCCCGACTTTCACTTCAAATGCACTCCTCGCCACTGGCTCGGTCCGCAAGCCTGCATGGGAAATGTAGGTAGAACCAGGTCTTAAAAATTCAGAGCACTCCTATTGAAATTGGAATATAACTTGTCATAACGTGTAGCATCACACGAAAACCATTTTGCACCAAGCAGGCTCTTGGAGAGGTCCTCGGGGGTCTTCCTGGAACTCAAAATGGTGTCCGCCATTGAGCTCGTGATTCGCACTTTCCGCTCCTTGTACCACCTGTAGAGGTGTGAAATGCATTTTTATTAGAATTGCAAAAGATAAGGATTTGTTCCAGGCTTCTTATGGCTTGCAGTGTAAATAACAATTGAGTTGCCTTATGCCTGATATAGCGAAGAAAAAAAATTAAAGACACTAAAAG